GGAAGGAGGAGGATAAACAGGACATTAAAAAGAGATTCTCAAGGAAATGGAACAGCAGAGAATTAAGACAAAGTAAGACTACTTAGGGGATAAGGGTTAAAGAAGATCCTACTATCCAAAGGAATAGAGTCTACATTTTAGTTAAATCAATACACACTACACTGAAACACACACACACACACACACACACACACACACACAGTCTAATTTTCTTCCACTGTAACTCTCCTTTCAATAAATATTTTACAGCTCTTTGTGCCTACAATGAATCCCTTTTGTACACAGATTCAATCCTGCCCCTGATTTGTACTTTTCAGACATAAGTATTCCATTCCAGCTAAACTATGAGGTGCAGTTTATGTCCCAATTTCTTTCATTGACCTGACTTTGAAACTAGCTGAAGACAATAGGATGTGGTAGAAATGATGATCTGTTGGTTCAGAGCATAAATCTCAATGGGTTTGCCCACTTCCTCTCTTGGAAGCCTTGCCAAATGCTGTGAGTAGGTCTAGATCAGGGTGCCTGTACATGGAACATCACATGGGAACAGAGAAGGGCTGGCTGTAGACACTGAGAGCCTCCACACTGCCCAATCTTTTCAATCCAGCAGCTGACTGTAGTATGGAGACTTGCTCAACTATCCAGAATTGCTGATTAGAAAAAATCCTGAGCTCCACACATGGTTCAAGCCAGTATGTTATGGTAGTCAAACAACTGAAATACATAAAATGTTCTAGTGTCTCTAAGACAATGCTTATCACAACATGTTTATATTAGAATCAAGGACTTGGTGATCAGCATTTGCTCCTTTGGGAGAAGTAACAGCCACACTCACTGTGTACCTGCTGTGTATCACTTAAGCTGTATGTGCAGCAGGCATTTAAGAGTTTGATAAAATGAACTGAAATGAAAATCTAGTGCTGGTGTTCAACAGCATATTTACTTCACATTTTGCTACAAAACACGTGGCAAAGATTGTTAAGTAAAAAATCTACTGTTGGCCCTCTATAATTTCTGAAGATTAATAACTAGAGGCCACCTATTCTAGGAGTGTGGATACTGCTCTAAAACAGTTCATTAAATGAGGGTTTGTTTTGTCCAAAGTTTAACATTACCTAAGCTTGGAAGCTGAAATAAATATATGCATATTTTTGAATGAAAACTGTACTGAAATTGAACTTTTATAACATAAATATATGCTAAAGACCTTTTGACTTGTACTGTATAGTTCATTATTAATAGCAGATTTTCTAATCCTAGAACTTTAACAAATGTATTTTTACTCTGAAATATGAAAGCTTATATATTCAAAATGTCATTTTACTTTTTACCTTAAAAAGTAGAAAAATGGAAACAGAGTAAGTATAAAGGATGAATAGCTTTATGATCCACATCTAATTTTCTTTCTAATGAAAGTGCAGAGCTTTTAAATGACACTCAGCCATTGTAGACTATACAGAGACTTTTTCACCAATATCTATGTTTTGAATATGTTTGAAATTATCATTCACCTAATTGTATCTGAAAGTCTAATACAAGAGAACAGGAGCACATGATCAGCATGATACACATAGAAACCAGAGATGCAAACAGCCAGTATCTTAATGGCATTGGGAGAGCATGCACCCTAAAGCACACCAGGACAGACCCCTTCTCACATGGGCATGCACCCTACATTTTGCCTTTTATGGAATTCTGCTTGGGCCAGGCACAGCTGCTGTCTGACATGGCTATTGTCATCTTGAAATCATAGCACCTGTGACTGTCTACAGGAAACCCTCACAAGACTGGGCCCTTGTACATTCCTCCTGGAAGTGGAGGAGGGCTTATGATTCTCTTCTCTGAAGGTATTTAAGCACTTAATGATTCCTGGGTCGGGGCAACTTGGCTTAGCTGCTGTAAACTGACCATGGTCCCTATTAACAACCCCTTATTCATTCTTCTCCTGTAACTCCAGCTAGACCTGGTGGAATTGTTTTGTTTTGTTGCTGGGGTTGGGGGGCCTGTTGTGTGTGTTTTATCTTGGGTAAACACATAGTTGATCAGGAAAGGTCGCACAACATTTGCTTTAATTTTCACTTCTGGTGTTTCCATTACCATTTTTAATTTTTTCTTACTATTATTAGTGTGTGTGTGTGTGTGTGTGTGTGTGTGTGTGTGTGTGTGTGTGTGTGTGTGTGTGTAAGTAGTGGGTGTGCACTTACCACCATGGAGGTCAGAGAATAACTTTGTGAAGTCAAGTCAGTTCTCTCTACCTTTATATGGGTTCCAGGAAGCAAACTCAAGCAGGTTTCATGGCAAATGCTTAACTTGCTGAGCCATTGACCTAGTCCCTGCTAATTTCATTTACTGTGTTGATCTCTAATTTGTAAAAGCCTAATGATTAAAATCTGTTAATAAGCTGACTAAGGAAATCAGAACCTAAAAAGGTTTAGACAGCTGTGAGAACACTAGAATCTGTGAGCTGACACATTGGAAAGAAGAACAGAGTTAGGAAAGCCCCACCTCCAGGTTTAGTCCATGAAACCACCACCTACGGGCCAGGTAGGAAGCACTACTGCATGGAGAAAAGACACCAGGATCAGGAAAGAAGACAGCTGGCAGCACAAAGAACAGAAAGCCAAAGCTACCCCTTCTACAATAGCAGACAATGAACCTGATAGATTCAAAGGGCTATCACTGAATGGCTATCTTCATGATAATAAGACTGCCTGAAGGTGAACTTGTGGCTTTGGGCAGAGGTCTCCCAGAGACACAACACACAGTCTGGGTTGAGTGTTCTGCAATAACGGAAGGAACATGCCAAGTTCTTATTGTACAATTTTAAGACTAGCCTCCACCGACCCACCGCTCCCAATTTAAATTCTGCTTTAGGACTGATTGTGTTCAAACAACAGGACACCTAACCACATCTCATCTGATGTTAAGTCTCATACAGTAACATACAAACAGGAATTCTCCTTGTAGTTTGGACATCTGAGAATGGCCTATATGAATGAAAAGAGCTTTTTTTCAGAGCAGGATGTGAAATGATCATTAAGCAGTATGTCAGCCTATCTGCTAACACAGCCTTAAACTAAGGATGTTTTTCAAATCATCTAGGTTGGAAATTATCCCTTTCCAACTGCTATAACAGAGAAAGGTGTAAGTAGAATTTAGATGACACAATGAATAGGAAGAGACAGAGTCTGTCAGTATCAGTAAAATTTTGTAGTTTGGCTTTATCATTTAAACATCATAAAAGAAACTCAGGGAGTGGGGCTGCAGCACAAACAGGAACTTCAGCATCTATACCGCCACTGCTCACTTGGAGCTCACAAGTACTTGAGCATTCATTCACCCCTGGCTAAGGCCCATCTCACCCTGGATGTGCTTTCCCACATTACCCTCAGATCACATTTTCTGTCAATACTAGTTGCTTTCCATAGGTGCCAAACCCACAAACTCATGAGAATGACATTTCCTTTGCATCAATAGTGAAAAAAGAAAGACTTTTTCTTGGATATGTTCTTCCAATGAAAATCACCTTCTGTTTTCCAAGAAGCATGAACTGGCTTAGAGGTTTCAGAGAACAAATTGGAGAGGGAGGGAATGGATCCCCACTGAACTCTAAAGCAAAATCTCAATCTTTCCATCTTAGATCAAAGGCTAAAACCTGGGCACCTCAAATCTACAGGTGGAAGGTGTTTAGTGCGGAGGGAGACAGCTCCATTTCTGACAATGCTAGGCAAGCATTATGAAAAAAAGAACCCCCAACCCAGCCCCCAAATATTAAGTTGACACACGTTTCTGGGACGTGGTCTGAATCCTCAAACCTTGGCGGGTCTATAGACACATGATTCTGCTGAACAGGGCTTTCCGGAATTGTCATCGATGACAGATTACACTGCCCATCCACAAGGGTCCAGGGCTAGCTCAGGCCATCCATTATGGGTTAAAAGCTATTCCGGCAGGCATCCAGTCACAGTGGTAAGGAGGTTACCCAGACAAGGAGTCCTACAGCTTTAAGAAACACTCTGGGCATCTACAAGTTTTCAGAATGCAAACTATGTCAGCTCTGAAAACAAGAGGCACTGCATCATTATGGCAGGAGAAACAAAGCCAGCCCCCCTTCTCAAACAGACAAAAAAAGATTGTTTTAATAGGAGAGAAGCATCAGTCATTGATGCTTACTTCATTCGCACTTTCTATCCAACCCCATCCATCTTCAGAGTGAAGAGATGACAGAGCACAGTTACAGCTCTCCCTTTCAGCCCCCACCCATCTTGTTCTACTATACTCCAAACACCAGGGCCTACCAACCCACTCTTTCCAGTCTGCAAGAACAGCCCTATGGGTGGCCTTTCTATCTTGTGGGCTTTCCAAAGCTCAGGTACACCTAAGTACCAACCTTTATCATGATACTGTAACAGGACTTCTCATTAGGTTAGTATGACTGGTCAGAACCATTGCCAACCTTCTTTAAGCACCAATACTCTGTTGCTGATGGCTGACCACATTTTACACAGAAAGCAATAGAAGGTATGAGGCAGCAGGAAAAAGTCAACAAACTGGACTCCCAACCTAGAAAGGAAAACATTTCATTTTCCTTCGGCACTGCTGGCCACATTATCCACACACAAAGTTCTCCAGGCGGGCAGTCTCTGCATCAGTGCACCTGCTTAGCATGGGTTTGACGAGTCATGTTTTCGCTGTGTCTGCAGAAGTCAATGGCTACACAATGGATCACATCACTTGAGGGTCACTTGAGTCCCTCTACTGTGTGGATCCCTCTTCCCACCCCCTGCCTTCCCTTCTACCACAAAACCTTTACTCCACCATAGCTAAGGATCTCAGATAGCTAAATAAAAGAGGTGGCCTCAAACACAGGGAAAAGCCCTTAGGTCTCCAGTGTGAATCACCAATGCCAAAGCCCCTCCCCTCCCCTTTTCCTTAAGACCTGATGGTCTTCAGTCACACATCTTAAAAGAAAAACAAAAAACAAAAACACAAAGACTTACTTGTCTCAAGTCGATGAAGGCCAACTGCAGCGTGTCCTCCTGGAACCCAGGCACCGGGCCGGATCTGGCAAACTCTGTGGGAAAGAAAAGAGGATAAAAAGCGCCTTTAACTAACCATGGACAGGGAGATTGGCAGACGGATGACAGGGAAGACAAGAGAGGCTGGGGGAGAGGAGGACTGAGCTTCTAAGGAGTCATGTCTCTCTCCCTTCAGCTTCTTTGTTGGCCCTTCAAAATTCGTGTCATCAAAACACCATTAATTCCAGCATCCTGACAGCAAGGAAACTGTACTAATTCGACCTGAAATTTATTCCCATGAGCCGCGCTGGGCTTCAGAGTATTTGTTTTGTGAATGGACAAACAACTTGCAAAGGAGGAAGGGAGGGGGGGAAAGAAAAAAGTTTTTCCTCTCAACACAATAAAATCTTCAGCTGAGAAACTCTTTTCAGTTCCGAAAGCTATTTATATTTCAGATCGCTGAAGGAATTTTCTAATTTCACGCTTGTCACCTCATTCCCTAAGCATTTATCAAAAATATTCCCTGCCACATCATTAATTATTCCCTCACTGATTATTTGTATTATCTCATGAGTGCCAACCTCCTACACAGCACACACGCATGCACACCACTAGCAGCAGCAGTTACTGCTGCTGCCCTAATCAGAGTGTGGCTTAAAAAAGCAGAGAAGTACTGGCAGATGCGAAGATGCCCACCTGGATGAAGCTTACTGCAAATGTGAAGGGACATTTGCATATGTTTGTCCTTCCACTGTAGGCTTTGCCTGTGACTTCATTTTCATGCTACTTTACAAATTCCATCTTCTCTTCCCTCCCTCTGTTTCCTCCCAGGCTTAAACAGCCCATGTGGATGCTATCTGCAGTTACAGTAGCACCTTGAGACCATGATCCATTATAATTCTGGCCTCTATGTCATTAACAAGAAAGAAATGACACAGGGCTACAGGGACAAATGCTAGTACTAGAATGTCAAGTTTTATTGTCTCTGAGCTCTGCTTATTAGGAAATCAAAAGTTCCCTCCACACTGACAAGCACATAGCACAGTCAAGATCTGATAGTAACTGTATCTTCAATTCTTCTTATAAAATGTCCATCATGCTTTGACTTTACATCTATCTACTAATTACATTAAAAGCAGCTCAAGTACTTAAAAAGCTGCTCGCTTGCTTATGTCCCTCCCTTTCCAGTCATTTTGAAACCAAAACAGATTTATATATATATAAATATATATATTTTATGTATATATAAAATCCTTGTCTCAGTTTTAAAAAATGCCAATAACTTAGACTGTAGAGACAAGGGAACATTATACGAAAGGATTTTAAGTCAACACATCTAAATATAGTGCAAATGTGCTATATATCTACCTATAACATACTCTTATTGTAGACATTTCAAATAAAAAGGATGCATAAGAAAAGAGATCAACTCTAAACACAGTCAGCCTTAGTAAAGTGAGTTTGCTTTGAGAAGAAAACTCACATGCCACTTAGAAACCACCATTATCCAAAGGAGGACTAAGAAACCCAAGTTTCAAAAGAATAAAGTTCTAAAACTGTGCAAACATTTGGTGATAAGCATGCTAATGAAAAGCTTGACACAGCATATGCTGTACATCAACAGTGATGTGCAGTAAGCAATAGAAAGAATCATATCTGGTAATGTGATGTGCAGGAACTGTGCATCCCAAACATACAACTGCCTCGCATGATGCTCTTGTTGAAAGAAGTTCTTTGAATTATAGTTACAGCCTCTCTTCCCAACAGACTTGTTCAGTGTTCAGTTTGCACACACTTCCTCCAAGGTTGACAGATTACCTCAAATAGTCCTGTATCATTCAAGCCAGTGTTGCCTCATTTAAAGCATTTCAAGTTCTATCAGGAGGAGCCCCGGTTGAGTGAAAATGCTCAGCTATTGAGATGTTCTGTTGTCCTATCTATGTCCAGCTCAACAGAATTCCCCATGTATACCAGTGGGAGGCTTGGGAGCTACGTCTGCTTTCATGTCACTCCTCACTGAATATGCTCCCTGGCTGATAGATGAATCAACTCAGGAGTCTGGATGTGCTATATTCTGAACTCTCAGTCACTGTACCAACCTGATTTTTATGATATATCAAATCCTCAGGTTCCCAAAAGACATGGTAGCCTTTGATTTTACCTTTTTATAAAGAGAACCAGATAATGGTAATTATGCCAGGTACAACAAAGTGAAGAGATTAATCTCCACAAATCACTTATGGAAATGTCTAATTATTATAAATTCAACTTCATATTTGTAGTTTTTCTCTTTGCTTCACATATATAATTCTTTTTTTCAGTACTGGACATCATACCTAAGGCCTTGTGCATGCTAGACAAGTACTCTGTTACTTAACTACATTTCTATAATACTTACAATCCCATGAAGATAGTACATTCCTTAGAGATAAAGACCTTATCACAAAGCTTAATAATTATTCAAAATAGTAGACATTTAAAAATATTATGTTGCAATTAAATAAGGTATATAAAAATTAAGATTCACTAGACACATAGACTCATAACTGGTAACAAAAGTCTCTCGGTTGTTACAGGTAAGGTATCAATTTGCAGGCTTATAAACTAATGAGTTCTCTAAAATCACAGGTACAATGGGACTTTAGGGGACAGTACTTGGGGTCATAAAAATCAGAACTGGAGCTCCACTTCTCCACTTACTAAGTCCCGAGTTCAACAAATTACTTAACCTGTTTATGTCTTTCAAAATCATTAAATCAAAAACTAGGACAGCAGATCATTTCTTATAATGTGGTGATCAAGATTAAGCCAAGTCACACATATAAAGCAGCTGGCAGAGTAGCAAGCATATCATAACTGATTATCCTTATAATTATTTGTATGTGTATGTGAATATGCATTTCTTCACAAGGAAAGGTTCATAGCTTTTACTGAATTCTCTTTTACTGAGGTTTGGTGACCCAGTGTCAAGAAACATTGTCCTATGCCTATGACAAAACACAAAAAGAAACAGAGCTGAACCAGGGATGATTCAGTGAGTAGACATTTATTTAAAAGAAAAATTATAGGCAGATACTTAATTATTTTGTTTTAAGGGAGTTAATATGATTAGTCTGTTAACCACAACACAGAAATTTTCATTTTTATTATTAGAAAAAAATTAAAGACATAAATAAAATTTTTGTAACTGTGATTTAACATAGTCTCAGAAATATGACCTCCTAGAGTAAGAACCTTATAAATACATGAAAAATTAGTAAGAACTGTGACTATTTTAAAGAACAAAATAAGAATTCATGCAGAGCCTGATTTCAACTATGTAAAATATAATATACATGGGAGTTATGCTATAAGCACCTACCTCACAATTTTACCCAAGGCTGCTACAGAGAGGAGAGTGATTTCTTCTTTCTATTTTATAAACTCTCATAACCCAAGAAGAGGAAATTCAAGAATGCAGGCATGGTGATATAAAACAGCACTGATGAGCAGTACTTTTTCTGGTGATAAGAGACACAGCAGGACAGGCTGACATGCACAAAGTCTCAAATACTGCCTGACAGGTGAGAAGGAAAGCTGATGTGTGGACAAGCCAGTCTCATGTATAACGTAAGGCCCCTAGAGCCATGGACTTCTGACATCATGAATCACAGCCAAATGGAAGCAGCAGACACAACCATGGACTAGTCCTTGTTTCTGGACAATAGGTTTTCAGTCTCTCAGTGACCCATGTCAGCATGAAAGTCTCCACAGCCTGGAGTTTTACAGGGCAGCTTCAGCACTATCCAGGACATCAAAAAGCCTGCTTCATTTCACACAGAACCAAATCCTCCCTTTCACTAGTTCCTGCTGCTTAGGAAACTCTGGTGAATTGGCATTTGCTTGCAAGATAACTTATACTAGTGGTAAGCAGCATCAGCGCATTACATGGAGTACATTCTCTCCACCCTGAACTGTCAGGAAGGACTCACTGAATGTAATATGGTACCACATCCTGACTCTGAGATTCAATTAGGAAATTGAAAAAAAATGTTTCAATGAGGACACTGCTAACTAATTGAAGGCTGTGTAGGAGATGTTAAAAGGTGGCTCACAAAGTTACAGCAAAGAAGGCACATAGGCAGAGAAGATTCCTAGGAGAAAAAAAAAATCACACTATCTGACAACCTCTGACATTCTTAAGACACAACTCTTTTGAGACTTGGTTATCATTTTAAGAAATCTTAATTTTCAAAATATCCTATAAATTTTAAACTCAAATAATGTTCGAGGTCTAATAAAGTTGCCAAAGGGTAAAAGAAAGAAGTTTCGCTAATTTCAATTTTTTTTTTTCTAGGTTTCTTTTCAGGTTGACATCAACACGAATAAAGTCCATTACTTTGTGGGAGAAGAAAACAAATGTTTCAAATTTTATCTAGTATATTCACAACAGGCTGAAGAAAAAAAACTTTAGTATAAAGTGTGGTGAATACCTCCCCCTGCATCAAGGCTATGCAAGGTGTCCCACCATAGGTAATGGCCTCCAAAAAGCCAGCTCATGCACCAGGGATGAATCCTGATCCTACTGCCAGGGGGCCCCTTAAGCAGATCAAGCTACACAACTGTCTCACTTATTCAGAGGGCCTACTCTAGTCCCATGAAGGCTCTGCAGGTGTTGGATTGCCCTAGGAAAGGGAAATAAATGAGATCTCCATAAGTAAACTGGGAGGTGAGGGGAGGCAATAGAGGGTAGAGGAAGGGGGAGGAAAACATAAGGGAATGGGATGGTCAAGCTGGAACAGGGATGGAGTGGAAGAACAATGAAAGAGATACCTTGATAGAGGGAGACATCATGGAGATAGGGTTTTTCCATTCTTAAATTCTTTTATTAATGAGAGGTAATCTAATTTCCCTGATATCACATCTGGTGACTACAAGGGGATACCCCAAAATTTCCAATAACTCAGGCCGAGGAAAGACCTGGCCTAAATAAACGGGGGGGGGGGGGGGGGGCAGTACCTAAGGAAAGACTTGGTCTAAATAAACAAGGGGGACAGTACCCACAGTTGAATGCTGA